ATGGGATAAGTTAAGATATATGCCGAGAGAATATTTGCATTGTCCCACAAGTAAATTTGTTTATTTTTTATATATAATATGCATAAATTTCTATATTTTTATCTTTTATTAGTATATATAATTAATATAATGTATAATTGAACATACTTTATCGTTTGTTTGTTTTGCAAAATTTTACAAAACATATTAAGCAATATATGTTTGACGTACACTTCTCTCACCAGATCAAGAGCTGCCTCAACAATCTTTACACTTTGAAGATATATATATATATATATATATATATATATGTGTGTGTGTGTGTTTCCCATTGGAATCCTTTCCTTTTTCCTATTTTGTTGTTCTCTTTTTCATTTAAAAAGAGGAATCCACTAAGGGAGGTGATCAATATGCACATGTAGCCATTAAAAGAAACATTTTATAATATTATGTATTGGTAGCAATAATTTTCTGCTTCTACAAGAAGAGAGAAAAAGCATGATATTTAGGTTCATAAATATATGATTAAAGAAAAAAATGAAAAGGGCACTACTTTGTTTTTGTTTTTTGTTTTTTTTTTTTTTTGCCACTTTCGCTACAAAACAAAGAGGAGTATACTGCGACTACTCGACGTTGAATATGGATTCCCTTTTGGTTGACGCACCTTTTCAAGTGGTGGGGTTGGAGTCTGTCTGTAATCACTAACATTAAAGGAAAAGGAAATGGATGTTTCACAAAAAACATCAAAGGAAATGGTTATCGATATTTTTTGTTTTGGTTACAAAAATATTCAAGCTTGAAAAAATTACCGGTGTATATGTGTTGCTGCCTTACTTTATATTAATAGGCAATTATTTGCGGTTGTGAAAACTCTGCAAGCGAGTTTTCCTTGACAAACTTAATATTCCTTTGTCTAATCTTTGATAATGTTATAAAACTAAATTAAAACATGTTCTAAAGTGGTTGTTTTATTTGGTTTATTTGATGTATAACTAATATTCAAGTAAATAACTTTGTATTAAAACATATCCAAGTTAAGAATGGCTATTCAACCATTTTGATGGAACGACAATTCAATCAGAGACTATTTTTTAAGTCTTTTTATTAAACTAAACATAAGAATAACTAAAATTTAAAAATTATCATTTCATTCTAATTATCATTTTTTGAAACCAAACGTACCCTTAATTTGATTAACTCTCTATTTAAGTCTTGATTGCTTAACAAACCACATATCTTCTTTTTCTTTTTTCTGGGAATTTTTGGGATTGGTTTATTCTGGTTCAAACGTAATAAACTGACATTATTTTATTGCTAAGAATGGAGTTTTTTTTTTTTTTTTTTGCATGTTTGTGTGGAGGCGTGTCTCATGCCATAATGCAGAAAAAGAAATTATTCTCAATTTAAAGAGAAGCATCACGATCAAAGATAGGCCAATTGGGCATGTTCTTTTGCTATTACTCAAAGTCAAACTCACTTTTTTATATCTTTTTTTCTTTGATGAACAAATCTATTTTAATTTTACTTTTGCTATTGAAGCATAATTGGGTATGTAGTGTGGCAACCACACGACTCCGTGTGGTCTACACTTGCCAGTGATGGGACTGATAGTGATGGGCTTATTCCCATAGAGACCCGTCCCTGTTTCTGGTCCATTCAACATCAAAGACATTTAATTTGGGCCATTATACTAGTTCTTTAATCTGTTTTCAAGGTCAAATACCAGTCTTAATCCCATTTATTAGATGCCCTATTGGATTGATCTATTGTGTTGGGGTCTAATTCACGCCACGAATAATGGACCGTTTAAAGTTTGCAAGTATATCGCTTTTCTCAGTTGATAGCATTAATATTGGAATCTTTACGTTTGTTGATGAATTCATAATCATGATTCAGAATTATTCTTGATTTACATATATTTTTTGTGAGAAAAAATATTATAACGAACATTCGAATCATGACATAAATCTAGCAACCAAACAACCCAGGTTCGCAATCGAGGTAGATTGTTTCGTTTTACAATCATAATATTTAAGGGTCCGTTTGGAAAATATAATTGAATCATAATTTGCGTTTTGATTTAAATTTTTTGTGACAAAATTATTAACGAGAATTTTTTTTAATTTAAATTCTTTGTGTGAAGAAAATACTGTAGTAAAATTATGATTTAAATTTTGAGTATATGAACTAAACAACCCCTAAATTTGCAAGTGTGTCATTTCTCTTGATCATTAGTTCAACTATTGTATTCGTAAAATTCACATATTTAATTATCACTTTTTAGGTCCCGACATTGATACCTGGGCGTGTCCCATGCCATAATGCAGAAAAAGAAATTATTATCAATTTAAATAGAAGCATCACGATCAAAGATAGGCCAATTGGGCATGTTCTTTGGCTATTACTCAAAGTCAAACTCACTTTTTTATATCTTTTTTTCTTTGATGAACAAATCTATTTTAATTTTACTTTTGCTATTAAGCATAATTGGGTATGTAGTGTGGCAACCACACGACTCCGTGTGGTCTACACTTGCCAGTAATGGGACTGATAGTGATGGGCTTATTCCCATAGAGACCCGTCCCTGTTTCTGGTCCATTCAACATCAAAGACATTTAGGCCTCGTTCACTTCACCGATTTGAGTTTTTAGTTTTAGGTTTTTACAGTAAAAAATTCTCAAAAAATGTCACATCAAAATTTTCTGCTACAGTAAAAAGTTCTCAGAAAATGTCACATCTCAGCTCGAATCGAAAACTCGAATCCGCGAAGTGAACTAGGCCTTAATTTGGGCCATTATACTAGTTCTTTAATCTGTTTTCAAGGTCAAATACCAGTCTTAATCCCATTTATTAGATGCCCTATTGGATTGATCTATTGTGTTGGGGTCTAATTCACGCCACGAATAATGGACCGTTTAAAGTTTGCAAGTATATCGCTTTTCTCAGTTGATAGCATTAATATTGGAATCTTTGTTGATGAATTCATAATCATGATTCAAAATTATTCTTGATTTATTTGTGAGAGAAAATATTGTAGCGAATTATAAACTATAATTCGAATCATGACATGAATCTAGCGACCAAACAACCCAAGTTCGCAATCGAGGTAGATTGTTTCGTTTTACAATCATAATATTTAAGGGTCCGTTTAGAAAATGTAATTGAATCATAATTTGCGTTTTGATTTAAATTTTTTGTAAGAAAATTATTAACGAGAATTTTTTTTAATTTAAATTCTTTGTGTGAAGAAAATACTGTAGCAAAATTATGATTTAAATTTTGAGTATATGAACTAAACAACCCCTAAATTTGCAAGTGTATCATTTCTCTTGATCATTAGTTCAACTATTGTATTCGTAAAATTCACATATTTAATTATCACTTTTTAGGTCCCGACATTGATACCTGAAATTCTTCTTGTAACACAATAGAACAATCCAGCTTTATCTCTAAATTCTTTCATTAGTCTTCCACGACTAAAGACTAAATCTTTTATCAATCTTCCTTTTAGCATTAATGGTGTTGCTCATCACTTCTCATTCAATTCTTCCCCCTCAATTTTATTCATAGGGTGTTTATTATAAAATGGCAACATCATTAATGTCCTGTTGTTGCTAATTTTGCGCCTGATTAGTTGTCTTTATAATACTAATTTATCATGTCATTTAAATTTAAGAGCCTATAACACAATACATATTAGATAAGAACTAAATACTCAAACACTTGAGCAATTAAGTCAAATTTTGCTTGGAGAGACAATTAATAAAACAAGAAAATAAGACAACATATTTGAATCCATATTAGGGGATATTTGAATCTATATTAATGATACCTTATGCACTAAGTTTTAAGTTTCCGCCATCATCATATAGCAAAAAAGGAAAAGAAAGAAAAAAAGTTTCAGCCATTGTGATATAGCAATTTACTTGGCATTTATCAGCTGATTAAACATAAGATCTTATTGCTGATCATGAGTGTTAGAACCCATTTAAAATTCTACTTCAAAGGCCGGCTCTAAAGAATCCATTTGTTGGTAAGCAAGTTAATTTGGCAACTCTATGGAGGCAACAAGGCTGCCACCAAACCAAATAGGAGAATCCCATATCTATGCTCCAAGTGGGGAAAACCTTTTCTTCTAGCCGTCGCTGAAAGTGGATTTTATCACCCCTTATGAACCTTTCTTTAGGTCATGATTCAGCAGCACAGGTCCAAGACTATTTTCTATATTATCTTTTCACCGTCATGCGCAAAATGCGCAAAATAATGGAGCTTCTTATCACCCTATGAGTATCACTCCAAAGAAGCAAGTCAAAAAGTTTGGGCTAAAATATTTCACAAATGATGGCAAAGGAAAACATGAAATTTTGTTCCTCGTAGGTTATAAAAAATATCCTATAAATAAGGCTCTGTTAAGTTTTATCAGTTTTTCTTTTTTATATTTTTTCATTTTGATGTAAATATTGACAAATCTAACGTGTCTGAACATTCACACTTTTATTGGGAGAATCTAAACTTATTAAGAGAGAATCAACAATCCATCAATGGGCTTTAAAATAAAAAATAAAATAAAAAAAGAAGAAGAAGAAAAAGATTTTTACCGTCATATTTATATCAAGTTCCGTCAGTTTTTCTTTTTTATACTCGTGTCTGAACATGAACACTTTTATTAGGAGAACCTGAGCTTATTAAGAGAGAATCAACAACCCGTCAATGAGTTTTAAAATAAAAACAAAATAAAAGAAGAAGAAGAAGAAGAACCATTCGCTTAAAAGAGCCCAACTTCTTAAAGGTGTGTTTAGAGTAAGAATCCGTGCCATGTTTCGTGGCTCGCTACAATATTTTCTCTCACAAAAATACACGTAAATTGAGAATAATTCTGAATCATGGTTCTGAATTTATAAACCAAACATCCTCTAAGTCTAAACCACCCATGATTTCCTTAAAAGAATTTGTGGCGATGCATATAAAAAGGCAACTCCATTACATGAAAAGCTCAAGTTTCAAACAGTATAATATGTAAATAGTGTTAAGGATCTTTTATTTTAAAACAATAAATGAAAGAAAATAATATCGTTTACATCGGACATGAATTCTAAGAGACTATAACGAAAGTTGATGTTTGCACTCGTATGACTAATCAAAAGATACAGATGTTTTAGCGAGGAATCTAGCTCATATAATATCTATGGTCCATAAAATTTTGCACAAAGAATCAAGCTACAAACTCATTGCGTTGTCACCTCAATTCGGTATTTACATATGTTTCAGTATTCTCGTAGAATGGAGATTCTTCGGTTGGAGTTTCATAGGGACCGGACCCTTCCGAAGCTTCAGGACTAGCATATGAAGGAGCTTCATAGGCATAAGAGTTCTCTGAAGCTTCGGAACTTTCATATTCAGGAGCTCTATCAGCTTCGAATTCTTCACTTCGAACAGTTTGAAGCAGAAAATGTACTCCATTAACCACGTCATACACCATCAATCCTATCCTACCTCCAATCCAACTCCCCAAATGACTTCCCACAAGATAGCCAAATCTCCCAAACCTTCGCTCCCCTAGGAATCCAATAGTATAGGTGCCAAAAAGAGTGCCGGTGCCTCTAAGGAAACCTTCGGTCTTCGTACCACCATAGTATAGAGCTTCGAAAAAGTCCCACCCAGAAGAAATTATGGGACCTATTATTCGCTTGGCTTTCCGGGTTGCTAGCTTGGCTGCTTTTGCTCCTTCTTTTTGCGCATGTTTCGCAGCATCTGCAGCAGACATCCCCTGTGACAATGAATCAACCAGCACAGATTCTATTGCCCGATGCCTCGCTCTCTCAACATGAGCGGACCTGATGTTGTAGAAATAGAGTTTCACTCCCTCTTTCACAGTGCATGCCAGTGTTCCCGTGCTCATATCGAAACAGTTCAAGAATGTAAATTTCCCGCTCTGAGATGAAGCCTCTTCTCCAACCAGCTGTCGACATTTTTCAGCTAACAAAGTAAGAAGTTAATGAGCCTATCTAAAATGACTAGCAGGCACAAAGTGTAGCTCAAGATCAAATATACCAAAATGAATATGGTTTAAATATTTTTTTTCCAGCAGAAAAAAAAAAAGTTTGGATATTTTCACAATTCAGAGTAGGAGTCCAAAAGCATCTCATTACTAACTTATGATTTAATTGGAATTTAGATCAAAATACATAAGGCTTTGGAAATAGTGATCAAGAGTTTAGGAACAACAACGATAACCTTTTTTTCAGAAATTGCAGTGGATGGCCTTTTCAAAACCTACTTTAAGTACTTAAATGTTTCTTGTTTTGTTAAATTAAAAAATAATTTTTAAAACCGACTTTGCTAAATCATTGATTGATCTTTTTAGGAACAACAACAATAATCTCTTTCTTTTTTTGCCAGAAATTGAAGTGTATGGCCTTAAAACAAAAAACAAAAAACAAAAAAAAAAAGAACAAAAAAATAAAATAAAATAACCAACTTTAAGTGCTTCAATGTTTCTAGTTTAAATTAAAAAATTTTAAATGTTTTTGATAAAGTATCGATTGATTTTGGAACATCAGTGATAAATTAACAAGATAATTTACCAGTCTTTTTTTTTTACATTTTTTAATTCAGCAAAATTATGGTCATTTACTAAAAAAAATATATTACAAAGGGTTTTTTTGCACAAATTCCTTTTTTCCTTGCTCATTAACAACTATAATCATATAGATTTTCAATATATATATATAACCATATAGCATAATCATAGATTTCCTAAATTAGAAGGTAAACAAAACTGTCTCGGCAAAAATATCTGCGACAGTATCAGAGATTTTATCTCCCATGCTAGAAGTGGTAGCGTTTGCCAATAACGGAAATGGTGTAGCTCACTTCTTTGCTAGTCATGCAATTTCTAATTTCATTGGTTTTATCTGGTTTGGTTACTTGCCCAGATTTTTGGGCTCCTATGTAAAAGCAGACTTGGGTTCGTTAGTTGAATAAATTTCATTTTACCATAACACACACACACACACAAAAGCAACACCGAATTTTCTGCTCCTATATGCTATTTTATCCACTATTTACGCAGATAGTTCCGGTGCTAGTCTAAGTTACTAATAAACTACGTTAATTGTTAAACCTGCTGTTAATTATGTCTGCTAGTTAGTTTACAAAACATTGTATGGAAAATTATGTAACTTGTTGTAGGGTAAAATCTAAAACCCTACATCGTGCACTAGATGAGCGCCACGTGTCACAGCTGAAGGCATTAATGGCCATGTCAGCTCAGCATTAAGTATCCTGCAAAATGAAATTCGGTATAGGCCGACTGCAAGCTGAGAATAACACCCTCATAAGCGGTCGACCGTATTGAGGAGTCGAAATAAGCAAGAGGTTGACCGCTCCAGGTAGATATAAGCGGAGACGGCTTGATAAGCGTTGAGGAGTCGAATGCACACAGCCCGAAAAAAAACTGTACACGCAGAGGATATCTTATGTGACTTGTAAGTAAGCAAAGTTGGTAGGGGAGTAGGTGAAAAACTATTGTTGACCGGTATAAAACCCTACATCGTGCACTAGATGAGCGCCACGTGTGACAGCTGAAGGCATTAATGGCCATGTCAGGTCAGCATTAAGCATCCTGCAAAATGAAATTCGGTATAGGCCGACTGCAAGCTGAGAATAACACCCTCATAAGCGGTCGACCGTATTGAGGAGTCGAAATAAGCAAGAGGTTGACCGCTCCAGGTAGATATAAGCGGAGACGGCTTGATAAGCGCTGAGGAGTCGAATGCACACAGCCCGAAAAAAAACAGTACACACAGAGGATATCTTATGTGACTTGTAAGTAAGCAAAGTTGGTAGGGGAGTAGGTGAAAAACTATTGTTGACCGGTATAAACCCCACCCACTGAGGATTACATCCAAAAATATAAAAACCATGTGATATAATGTAATGATGGAAATAGCAGAGGTTGAGAGAGGATAGAGCAAATATATATGTGAAAAAGGGCTCTCACTCTGTAATCTTTTCATTCTCAGAACATAATATATTTCTCTTCTCCTCACGGTGGATGTAGCCCTTGAAGAAAAGGGTGAACCTATAAATCTTGGTGTTCCTTTTTCTTAGTGGTTTTTCTGATCTTCCCAAACCATATTCAAATCATCAAAATCACGTTAATCACTTCTAAACCCGAATTAATCTAGTTGACAAATTTCCACCGTCAACATAACTAATTATTCAGATCATTCGAGACTTTCTTTCTTTCTTGTTCCTCTCGTTTTCTTAATTCCTAACACCTCGCAACTTTAGAAGTTAAACGTTATTGTATGCAATATGCATATAGTTCCAACTTTTCAACGCCAGAGCTTAGACTTATTTTCCCTGCTCTTTGTCTAGAATTTTCTAAGCAACAAAACTGATCAAACTCAATTCCCACTTCAAGCAAAATTCTTAACTATTGAACCCAAATTTTCATTACCCAAAAGCCAATACATCAAATTCAAAATTGCAACTCTGTTATTTCTAATTCCACAAAATTTCATGCGCAGATTTAATATATAAAGGTATACTATCTACATATCCATGAGTTTATGTACCTGTGATGCTGAGAGCGATGATGCCTATGGCGAAGAGCAGGAATTGGACCCTTTTTTTCTGGAAATCCATTAAATTTCAAGCAAAGCAAAATATGGAAGGAGAAAAAAACCTTAACTTGTGTCTTGTGTACGTATCGAAAAACTGAGATCTGGGGAGACCTTAGAGGGATGTAAAGCTTCAGAAAGAGGGAAGAATCTTCAAACCCATTTGTCTCTCTCTGACTTCGCTCTTCTTGGACCCTTCGAGCTGAAAACCGTGTATGGAAGATTCTTCAGTTGAAGTCGCTGCTTACTCTTCTATATTTCAACACCCTCGACACGTCGTTTTTGTCCTGTCGTTTATTTTACATGTTTATTTTAGATTTCTAAAATAAACGACAGCACAAAAAACCTTTTATATTTTGTTTCTAAAATAAACGACAGCAAAAAAAAGGACATTCGAAAGTGTTGAAATTAGGGCTGTTCATAAACCCGAACGACCCGCAAACCCAACCCACCCCGCCCCAATCCAAGTCGAAAAAAGCAACCCCCAGCATTATTTTTAAATTTGCGGCTCATTATACCTCTGGCCCGAAGTGTTTGGGGCGGATTGCGGGTTGGGCCCATAACAACCCGCAATCCCTAACCCAACACGCACAACATACCCCCAAGCTTTCGGCCCAAGCCGAACTGCCCAAGTTCTCCCCTAGACTCGCTAACATTAGGGTTCACAATCTCATACTCGGTCTCCCCTCCCATGAACCCCCTCTTCTTGCCTCTTCCTTTTCAGTTTTCCCTCTTCTTCCCCTCCCGTGAACCTCCTCATAACTCTGTCCTCATTGCTCAGTCCTCTCGGCCGCCGTCTTGCCCACTTTCTCCGGTGCTCTCTCGCCAGACTAATAGGGATGGTTGCTATTTCTATTTAATGATGAAGTTTGAATATTATATTGAACTTTAAGTCTTTGATTTTTTGAATGTTGAAACCGACCACCCAACCCACCCCGTACCGCCCCAACCCAACCCGAACATCGTTGGGTTGTGAAAGTTTTCTAACATCGTTGGGGCCAAATATGTGCAACCCGCACCCTTTGAGGTAGGGAAAAAAAAGTCCTACCCTGCACCAACCCAACCCATGAACAGCCCTAGTTGAAATATAAAAGAGTAAGCAGTATTTTAAAAAAAAATAATTATTATTTTGGTACCCCGTAATATAAGAAAACATGCTTTGCTCTTGGTATCTTTATGTTTTTAATAATATTAAAATGGTAAATTAATATTTTTAAAAACATCTTAATATCATAAAACTAATTTTTAGGACATAAAGGCCCTGTTTGAAGTTGGTTTTGTTTTTATTTTTTATGTTTTTCAAAAAAGAAAAAAGAAAATAGGAGAGAAACGGCGTTTGACACAATTAAAGATAAAAAATGAAAATAAAATTGATTTTTTAGTTTACTGTAAAATGAGACAGAAATGACAAACGACTTTTAGTCGTTTTTCATTTTTTGTTTCTGTTTTCTTCTCTCTTGAGCACAGAGAGAGAGACATTAATGGATTTTTTATACTGAAAATAATATCTTGATAAAACTACCAAACGCATTTTTAAAAATAATTTCTGTCTGAGATTGAAAACATTTTCATTTCCATTTTCATACAAAAAATAAAATCATTTTGGAACGAGTTCTAAACGCACCCAAAATGATTTTAATACCCTTCTATTTAGTTTAGATAAATTTTATAAATTCTCCTGAATTTTGCTACTTGTGTCAACATGTCATCTGAACTTTAAAATAGTGGTGGAACTCCGGGCGGCGGGCGTGCCTGAAGCCCGAAAATTTTCAGGTTCGGCGGGCAGGCACCTATCGCCACTCGTTCAAGCAAATTTCACAGGCTCGGGTTCGGGAAGCTCGCCGCCGGTGGGGGGGGGGGGGGGGCCATGCCCGCCGGCCGCTGCTTTTTTTTATTTTTTATTTTTCCACCGTACCCAAAATGCCCGACCTGAAGCCTAAATTTTTGTCCGAATACGCAAAAAAATGGCTAGTTTTTTGAATTTTATGCCCGACCCAGAAAACAACTAGTCTTTTGACCGTTAGCCCGATTTGCACCCAAATTTTTGAATGTAACGGCTATTTCTGCCCGAACCTGACCGGCCGCCCGTTTTGCCCGACACCAATGGCTCTATTTTTTACCGTTGCTCGAGAAACCTGATTGCCCGACCCAACCCGCCGACAATAAGTGACCGTTGGAGCCGAATTTTTTAGGGGGAAAAAACATTTCAAACCAAAAAATTCCCTATAAATACCCCCTTCCCCCAACCATTTTCCTCATCCAAAAACTCTCTCATCTTCTCTTAATTTCTCTCAATCTCTCTCAAATCTCTCTTAATCTCTTTCAAATCTCTCTTAATCTCTCGTAAATCTCTCTCGATCTCTCTTAATCTCTCTCAAAGCGCTCTCGATCTCTCTTATTTTTCATAATGAATTCTTCTGGTTATAGTGGTGATATTCCCGCTGATGCCCAATTCAACATTGAAGAAGGGTAATTTCCTACTAATATTTTTTAAACGTAGGAATCGCAAACACCAGAAAGAGATGTTGAGGAAACTGCAAATCCGAACCGTGGTGGACGTACTAGAGGTCGTGGACCTCGTGGTCGTAATAGTGGTGGGCGTGGAGGAGAGGCAAGCGCAAGTGCTAGTACAAGTGTTGCAAGTTCCAAGAAGAAATGCAAGGGCACCTCAATAGTTTGGGAGCACTTCAACGCATTCGAGGAGGTCAACAATGACGGAAACATTAAATACGTAGCTCAATGCAAATATTGTGGTGATAAATTACAAGGTAACACTATCCACGGCACAACACACTTGAGAAGACACTCTGAAAAGTGTCTTCAAAAGTAATGAGGCGGACCCGATCTCCGCCAAACATAATTATCATTTGACCGTCAAACTGGCGTTCTAAGCACTTAGAAATATGATCTGTAAGTCGATCGTATGGAAATGGCACGATTAGTAGCAACATTAGATCAACCACTTCGTTTTACTGAACATAGGAATTGACAGCGTTATATTGAAATTGTACATAATCCCAATGCACAATTTTTTTCAAGAACTACTCTTAGGAAAGATGTATTAAAATTATATGAACAAGAAAGGGAAGCATTAATCAACCTTTTACACTCTACTAGTTGTTGTGTTGCGTTAACAGCATATATTTGATCCGCCGTTGCCAACAAAGATTATTTAGCTGTAATCGGACATTATTTTAAAGGTTTTGATTTAGATAAGAGAATATTAGGTTTTAAATGTGTTCTAGGATCACATACCGCTGATTTAATATATAATACAATTTTATCTGTTATTGATGAATATAGTTTAAGGGATAGAATAATGGCTGTAACATTAGATAATGCTACTGCAAATACTAAAACAATAGAACTTTTTGAAAAAGATTTAAGTTTATTCGGTAATAATGATATACTTCACCAAAGTTGTGCATGCCATGTAATTAATTTAATAGTAAAATCCGGTTTAAAATCAATGTCATATCATATTAAAAGAATTAGAGATAACATTGTATGGATTCAATGTAGTAATCAAAGAATATAAGATTAGTTTAGGTTTCTACAAGCAAGTAATTAAAATCCTAAAGCATTAGTTTTAAATATGCCCGTAAGATGGAACTCTACTTATATAATGCTTGAACAATGGATCCCCTATAAAGACACTATAACAAACTATGTTAGTGTAAAATTATGACCAAAATTTATAGACCAAACTGATTGGTAAATTGCCGAACTTTTGTATAACTTTTTAGGTAGTTTCACGAAGTTATTTTAAAGCTTAGTGGAACATATTACCCAACGTCACCATTAGCGTTAGGAGAACTTTTATGAATGATTATTTTATTTAGTGAATTTAGGACACACGAGATTTTAAGAGTTCCTATCGCTTCTATGAAAAAGAAGTTTAAAAAATATTGGGCTAAATTACCAATGTTGTATGGTTTCGGTGTTATTTTTTTTACCCTAGATTAAAATTAGGAGGTTTAGAAAATAGATTAAAAAACTTAGGTGACTTTTTAGATATCGACTATTCTGACCAATTTCCTATTATAAAGGAAAAAATATTATCTCTCTATAGCTCTTATTAAAGTAGGTTTAGAAACACACCTCGTGTAGAACAACCGCAACAACGAGACGACAATCCACATTCATTCTTGAATATTTTCGGGTTGAAGAAGAAGAAGAAGATGACGATGACGATGACTCAAGGTCAAGGAGAAGCTGGGAGTGGATCTTCATCAAGAGGTGGCGGCAAGCGGCGGCTTCAATGAGTTAATAGCGTACCTGAGTGAGGGCTTAGTAGTCGACAATGGTAGTGAAATGTTTGATTTGGTTCAGTGGTGAAGGGCACGAGCATTAACTTGGCCGATCCTAACTCGACTGGCAATGGATATTTTTTCGATCTCAGTCTCCACTGTTTCATCCGAACAAGCCTTCAGTACGACTGGCCGAATACTTGAGGAACGTAGAAATGCATTGCAACAGGACATTGTTGAAGCTTTGGTGTTCATTAAGGATTGGGATTGTTCCGACCAACGCTTACACGATAAAATTTCGCTGGTAAGCCAAGAATGGATCAATGAATTTAATAGATTAACTTCTAATTTTGAAGACGATCCTTCAGCTTCAAATTAAATTTTATTATTGTAATTTGTAAATATTTATTTACTTTGTACAGTGTTATTGTAATCTTGTATAGACTTTGTAAATTCTTCAAATTTGTAATTCGTCCCAGAATGATTGCACTCTTTTTTCCTTATCAAGTTTTTATCCCAATTAGGTTTTTCTTAGTAAGGTTTTTAACGAGACAATCATGAATTACAAATTTAAAAATTAATAAATAAATAATTTATTAATATAGTTCGTGTCCATTTTAAATTTCAAATTATATATAATAGTATATAAATATATAAAAAATATTAAAAAATTAGGTCAGGCACCTCAGGCGGTCTCGAGCTGCCCGACCGAGCCCGGGTTGCCAAAACTCGCCTGAAGCCCGTCTAAAGTCTTGCTCAAGTCGGGTCGGGCAGCCCAAAAATTCAGGCTCCGGCGGGCTCGGTCATCGGGTAAAAATTCAGAATTTTCAGTGATCGCGGGCGGCCTATCCAAAGTTTCAGTACTACTTTAAAATATGTATGTTATGCGCCTGAACTTTGTCACTTGTGTTAACATGCCCCATGAGGTTAACTCATTAAGTTTTTTAACGGAAATGCTTTTAA